AGTGAACTTGGCTATGAAGTTTCCCTTTCCTTTGTCCTATGAGATGTCTACAGAATGAAAAGCAGGGGTGAGGGGAGGTGAGAAGGGCCACAGGTGGTCAAGTCATCAGTGACACCAGGGAGGCAACTCTTGGGTCTGCTTTTACTTTAAAGCACTTAAGCTTCAAAAACCACAGATAGAGAGAGAGAAAAAAAATATATATATATATATGTATATATAGCCTTTGATGTACTATTCATAGTTCAAATCCAATCTTTGGCATGAAAGAGGAGGAAGCGTGCTTTGGATAGTATCTAAGGAAGAGAATTCCACCTCATTTATATATGGAGCTAAGCACATTATAAAGTTATTTTGCAACATAAATTTGCCTTTCTACTTCTGCTCCAGAATAATTTGGGCTTATAAAATAAATGTATAAAATACCTTTGACTATACTATATTTTCCCTGGCCTTCTTGCTTCTGTTTTGCAGGACTCGTGCTGAAGTGAGCTGTCTTCCTGGTTGCTGGGCACCTGGTAAAGATAGGGAGGGTAGGGCAGCCCAGAAGCATTCTGGGAGAGGAGAATCGCGAGCAAATATTTGCTTTGGAATATTCAGAGTTGATTTTCACAGATAACCCAGAGCAGATTCCCTGTAGCAGCTGTCAACCACAGAGAGGTTTTTGGAACAAGAGCTTTTGTTTATGTGAACATATAGTGCTCAGGCCTGGCCCAGGAGAGAAGTGAACACAGCCCCGGGACCTGTTTCCAGGGACAGGAGATGAGAATAAGATAAACACCGCACAAAGACTGACTTTAATGCAGAAAGTCTACCAAGGGAGGGGGTGGATTTACCACCTCACATTGCACAACTCACAGATTCATAGACTGTTCCATATTTATCTATTCAGCACGTGTTTATTAGAAGCTTTACATGTGAGGCACCGTGCTATTGGGTGCTAGACTTACCCCCGAGACTAGAACAGACACAGCCTCCAGCCCTCATGCCCTCTCTCTCATGAGACAAGGACAACAGGCTCAAGTGCATTCAGTCTGCAATGGGAAGGACACTTCCAGGGTGCTGTTGGAGGCACGGAGGAGGGACAGCCAACCCTGACATAAGAAATCATGGAAGCCTTCTTGGAGGAAGTGATGTTGGGGCAGAGCTACCGGAAGAGCAGAAGTGAGCTAGGCCAGAGGGGTGAGGACTGGGACAACAGAGAAGGGAATTTCAGGCAGAGGACAGATTGTGCCCTCCCTGGGGCATATTTATATGGCAACGAAGGTAAACAATAAATTATTTAAATTATGAAAACATATTTAAAAGATTATTTAAATGAGTTTTTGTTCTTAGAATTGTCTGTTCAGTGTTTATAACCTGTTAGCATATCTATGGCAAGGAGAGTACAGATACTCTGTACCAGGGTTTTCAGTGTGCACGCTGATTTTTCAGTTCTGGAATATCTGCAAACGTCTGATGTGACTTTCACTTCTAAGTATTATTTGATTCCTTGAAAAAAAAATTTTGATGTTGGGACAGTTTTTTAAATTTTTGTTTTTTAAGATTTTCCTTATTTATTTGACAGAGAGAGAGACAGCGAGAGAGGGAACACAAGCAGAGGGAGTGGGAGAGGGAGAAGCAGGCTTCCCGCTGAGCAGGGAGCCCGATGCGGGGCTCCATCCCAGGACCCCAGGATCATGACCTGAGCTGAAGGCAGAGGCTTAACGACTGAGCCACCCAGGTGTCCCTATGTTAGAACAGTTTTAGACTGTTACTTGATTTTTAACTTTACATTTTGAAATCATTTCAAACTTACTATTTAATTTACAGTCTGCGTTCAGGTTTCACCGATTGTCCCAATAACGTCCTTTACATTTTTCCTTTCCTAAAAATTTTTTTGTATTTAAATTCAATTTAGTTAACCTAGAGTGTATTATTTGTTTCAGGGGTAGAATTTAGTGATTCATCAATTGCACAGAATACCCAGTGCTCATTCCGTCCCATGTCCTCCTTAATGCCTGTTACCCAGTTACTACTCCCCCTCCAACTCCCCCCCAGCAGCCCTCAGTTTGTTTCCTAGAGTTAAAAATCCTTTACATTGGGGCACCTGGGTGGCTCAGTGGGTTAAAGCCTCTGCCTTCAGCTCAGGTCATGATCTCAGAGTCCTGGGATCGAGCCCCACATCAGGCTCTCTGCTCAGCAGGGAGCCTACTTCCTCCTCTCTCTCTGCCTGCCTCTCTGCCTACTTGTAATCTCTGTCTGTCAAATAAATAAATAAAATCTTAAAAAAAATTTTTTTTTAAATCCTTTACATTTTTCTGGTCAAAAATCCAGTCCAGGTCACATATGGCCTTTAGCTGTGGTCTCTTTAGGCCCCTCGAGCCTGGACCAGCCTCTTGGCCTTCCCTTGTCTTTCAAGCCATAGATATTTTTCAAGATTACAGATCGGTTTTTTTGTAGAATGTCCCTTATGTGAATTAATGTGATGTTTCTTCATGATCAGATTCAGTGGGTGCTATTTTAAGCAGGTAAGTGATGTTATGTCTTTCTAAGGAGATCATTATATCACTCATCACATCACTCATGATCTCAGTGTGGCTGATTATTGGTGATTTTAACTTTTATTTTGTTTTTTTAGTATATTTTAAACCGTAACACAAGCATACACATCCAAATGTGTTTATATCTAAATGTTATCATGAAGAAGAGTAATAGTGAGCTATCCTGCTCTATATGACCTTGTTTGAATGCAGATTGTAGTGTTTTGTCACTCCTGTCATCTCTGCATATATCAGAACTTCTTGTAAATGTGTCATTGATTGATAAGATTATAGTTGTGCTCTGGCCTTTAAAAAGGCTGGGTGTAAAACTACAAGTAACAAATTACTACATAGCCATGTAAATCAGAATTTTCTTGATACTGTACAACCAAAACAGTGTTCAAAAGTAAGTTGGAATCCCGAAGCTGATTTAAGGGGATGGTGATCCCCAACCGACAGATACGGATTCTTCAAAAGAGCCTCATTGGTCTCATCCCGGATTTTATATTAATTTGGGCTTATAAATTTATAAAATGCACTTTGCATATGTTGTGTATATGTATACATCAGGCTCCTATATAAGATATTGATAAAAAAAAACAAACAAACAAGAATTCCTTTGCTTTGGCCATTTGAAAATCCTAGCTGCATCCCATTGTAGATCCTACCCACTGTTGAATGACTTTTGCTCTAACAACCCCAGGGCTCAGAGAATACACATGCATCCATTTCCAATGGGTCATTGAGTGGAGTCCCTGGTCACTTCAATTGGCACAAAATTTACGATTTCTTCCTTTTATTTTATTTTATTTTTTAAACATTTTATTTATTTATTTGACAGAGAGAGAGATCACAAGTAGACAGAGGCAGGCAGAGAGAGAGGAGGAAGCAGGCTCCCTGCCAAGCAGAGAGCCTGATGCGGGGCTTGATCCCAGGACTCTGGGATCATGACCTGAGCGGAAGGCAGAGGCTTTAACCCACTGAGCCACCCAGGCGCCCCTTCCTTTTATTTTTGAAGTTCAGTTCTACTTACTTTACAACACACCAAAACAAACATTTTAGGAGTGTACTATATTATGCAATTACTGACCGGCCCCCATAATGACCCAAGCAAAAGACAGTCCTACCTTGGAAAGTGCTAGCCTAAGGGTCTTATTCCAAAATGAGGACACTGAGGATCCAGAGAGGTGTCTTCTGAAGAAGAAGGCTGCTAATGGTAGACTGCAACCCAGCTCTTCCTGTGCCGGGGTTGGGGATGGCTTTCTTATGGCAGAGGTGTTAACTCCAGAGGTGATCAAGCTGCCCTCCCCTCTCTCTTGGCTAGTGTGGGTTGTTGGCAGCTGAAGCAAGCCTTGAGCGGGGTCCTTCCGCCGGGTTTACTCATCTCAAATTCAGCCATAGAGCTGGAGCCCAGCCAGGTCCTTGGGAGCCTCTAGATTTCCTAGAAGATGGTCTTAATGGAAACACACAGCTGAAGAGGTGCAGCTGCCTTAGAAAGTCATTTATAATATATTTTCATTGGGAAAAACGTAGTCAAAGTTCCAAAAGACTTTTCCAAGCTCAACCAGCACATCCGTAAGTTGGAGAACACTTAGAACTCATTTCTCTCCACTGAACCAGAGCAAATTTCGTATCTACATGTGCAAGGCAGCATGATAGTTGCTTGGTGAGTGCCAGCGGGGATATGAAGCAATTTAGGCCATGGCCCCATGCTCAAGAAGTCTACAATAATCCTAGGGAGGTGGAACATACATATATTAAAAACTTCTTAGTAACATAAGGCAACGTGCTCAGATGAGTGCAACAGAAAGGTGGACCACGGAACACTCAGGAAGGAAAGCATTCTGCCATGCGGCTTCTAAGTCGAGTGACCTAGATGAAACTGCAGCTTCCACACTTCCCAGCGGTGTGGCGAGTTACTGGAATTCCCTAACGCGCTTAGAAAAGCTCTGGGCATTTTAGGTGTCCCCCAAGTGTTGGCTATTATTACTCTCAGTCTGTGAACGAACCGTCATTTCGAGGATGGAAAGGACGTGAGCAGAGGAGCAGGAGTGGGCTTCGCGGCAAGGTGGTAGAATCCTAAGGAATTGTCCCCGCAAAAAGCTCCGCGAGCTACTTCGGTAACTCAGCTTGCAGCCATCAAACACCGCGGTGCAGGCAATTCAGGAAACCTGATTCCACCCACTCTCCTACGTCCGCGCTCCTCCGCGCCGCCTCCCTGAGATCCCAGCGCCCGTCCCCAGGGGGCGCTGCGCCCCGCCGACCTGGCTGGGGCCGGCGCGCGCCACCGCCGCCCGCCCCGCGCGTGCGCGCCGCCCAGGTGAGGAGGAGGCTGCCTGCGCCGCAGCGGCGGCTCAGTAGGCGGGGCGGGGAGGGGCGGGGCGGAGCCGGGCCGGGGAGGGGCCGGGGCGGGGCCGGGACCAGAGCAAGGCCAGAGGCGGGACCAGCCGCCGCCGTCTCCGTCTCAGAGTCCCGACCCCCACTGCTCCGGGCAGTTGCGGCGGGAGAAGCGGAAACTGCTGGGTGCGCCGCGCCGGCCGAGAGCGCGCCGAGGAGCAGCGGGGCGGCCTCCGTCCGGCCCAGACCCGCCGACCGGCGCCCGGCACCGCCTCCCCCGCGGCCCCGCGCCCCGCGCCGCGGCCCCGCCCCGGCCCCGCCCGAGCTCGCCGCGCGCACCCCGCCGGCCCCTGCGGCCCTATCGCGCCCACCTGAGCCCGTCTGCGCCCACCTGAGCCCGTACGCTGGCGCCATGGCGGAGCAGGAGAGCCTGGAGTTCGGCAAGGCGGACTTCGTTCTGATGGACACCGTCTCCATGCCGGAGTTCATGGCCAACCTCCGGCTCAGGTGAGGGCGGAGCGGCCGTGCTTCGCGGCGGGAGCCTGCGCTTTCCCGAGAAGGGGCGCCCTTGCGGTGCGGCGGGATTGGAGGTGTCAGGGGCCAAACTAGAGGGATGGGGTGCGTCCGGACGGGGGTGTCCGGTGGCCCGCCGAGCTCCGTGGTCGCGCCTTCCCCAAGGAGGACGCCCGGGGGGTGCGGCTGTCTAGGGGGGTGAGGGGCGTGCCGAGCCCCAGGGCTGCGCCCTCGGGAGACGGGTGGCCTGTGTGCAGTCCGGACGCGGCGGTGGGGGTGGGGGGGAGGGGTGTGAGGGGTGTGCGGGCTGGAGGCTGCGCTTGGGGCAGGGCCGGCTAGCTCGCTTCCCCAGGTAAGTGATGTGGGCGGGCCGGGTGACCTCATGGAAACAAAAGTAAAGGAAAACGCAAACTTTAGGGAGAGTTGTGGTGGCCATGAAGGCCCTGGGAAGACGGGAGGGTTGTTTTGTAGAGAGATTCGGATCTCATCCCGGTTTCACACTTGGTTTTCTTTTTCTCCTCCTTTTTTTTTCCTGGCGTAGTTCCATCCTGTCACTCAGGATGCTATGCAGTAGTGGTCCCTGAGCTGTCTGCTCCGGGACACTGGCTATTTTTTAGTTACTTTCTAAACGTAATTAGACACGTTTCCAGACATCGAAGAGACTGCTCTGCTTGCCAGTGCCAAGATAAACTGTCTGAATTTGACAAGGCATTCATGCTTTCAGTTTTTTTCAAGGAGTTATGGATGGAGCCCTTGTGTTCCTGACATCCTTGAAAATGTAGTCACAACTCAACGCCCTGAAATGGGCTTGCAAGGCGAATTTATTTTAGAAACTCTACTACATGTGATTATTTCTCTCCTGATAGAGTAATATGTAAACAGAACTTTAAAGTAGTTTTGACTTTTTTTTTTGTTGTTAAACATTACAGTAAATGGAGTTTCAACATAACTGACTTTGGAGGGCAGGGATGGGCGGTGGTTCCTGGAAGTTCTACCCCTATTTCTTGTAAGGTTTATAGCTAAATCTCACTCCATAAGTTTATGAAGTGAAGATCACGATTTAGGTTTGAATGCTTAACTAACCCCACTTCTCAGTAATAATTACCCCTGTTCGTTTTAACTTATGAATTTAAAGAAAGCTTTTAATTTGGGGGATTGCAAACCCTGTAGGATCTTCTTCTGCTCTTCTCCAGACTTTGCTATGTCCCAGAGTATGGAGCAGGGGCACAGGTCTGAGTTCTGCACCTACCTATTACAAGCTGACCTTGAACCAGTCTCTGTGTCTGGGTTTCTTAATTTGTAAAATAGTGAGGATCATCAAGATTTTTCAGCACTTACTTTTTCTGCTTTTACGTATTACTGCTTCCAAACTCTCTCCGCGTGACATCTGAATCTTAAACATTATTAAAGTGAGCCTAACTTAACCTTGCAATTTAGTTCTACATTTTGCAACGTACTTCAAGAGGTAAGGTGGGAGGATCCCAAGAACTGTAAGATGTATCCTTATCTCTCAAAGAGGTGACAATACCAATAAAGACTGGGAGAAAGGTGGAAATTCCTCTTGATTTAAATAATAAATCAAGACAACAATAGAAGAGTTAAGCTTTGTAGAGCTTAGGTGATTCTTTGCCAACAAATTGCACACACTAATTGTTCTGGCGCTCAGGAGAGGGAGAGGTACTTTAGGCTGGTTCCAAAACACAGCACAGAGAGGGAGAGAGGTTCAGATGAGTTGCAAAGGATGGGTAGGGTTTGTCTAGGTGGAGAACATTCCAGGTGGATGCAGTGGCATGAACAGAGGAGTGGAGGCATGAAAGCTGATTCTCTTTGGGTGGTAGTGGACATGCTAAGTTGTCTGGAGAGAAAGGAGTTGGTGTTGGGGACTTGTGGGTGGAATCACCAACTCATTAGCCAATTATAGCCAATCATTAGCTAATGCCAGGATTTCTAGGGCTGCATTTACACCCAGTCACCAAGTCAGTCAAGATCCTGGCCGTGCAGACATGTGCAAGTATCTGTACATGTCTCATCTGTGTGTATCCTTGACAACCCTGAGCACTGGCTGCAGTTCTCAGTGTACAGCTTTGGTGACTGTTCATGGTTTACTTGCAAGCTGGGAGTATTAGGTTCCTGGTAGCCAGACCCTTGCCCTCCTCTTCCATTGTAAATCCTGATTACCCAGAGGGAAAACAATCCTCTCTCTCTGATAGTTTGGATTTCCTTTCCCCCGGTTATCCCTCCAGACAGTTCTAGTGTTTAGCTGTATGAGCTTCCGGGCTCATGCTGTTGTGACCCTTGAAACATTTGTTTCACTTTGCAAAAAGTGACAAGAAACAGTGCAGGTCCCAGTGCTCTTGATGTTGAAGTGTTTTCATCTCCTGGAACTTAGGTGGTTGGGCCATACGCAGTGTAATTTATGGTTTTATATGGGCAAAATCTGCATGTTTCATCTTTCAGTGGATGTGTGTGCATGAGCCCGATCATTCGTGGCTTCCCCAGACTGTGGCTCCTTCTCTCACTTCCGTCAGGAAGGTCCTGCCTTCTGCACCTCAACCCATACCGCACCCCCAAACCGCCACTGGCTCTTCTGCTCAGCGCTCTTCATTTCTGGTCGGTGACATAAGGTACTGAAGGTGACACTGGTTTCAGGGGTCTGTGTCGTCCAGACCTGATTGTAATTTTCCTGATAGCAGTCCCCAGCATAACACTGGGCACATAACACATTCCTTGTGACAACACTTTCTGTAGAGCAAGAAGAAAGAGAGGAAAAAAGTTACTTCTTCTAAGCTTTTATGACATTCATTTAGAATTATCTTTTTACTTTGCTACTATGCTGACCTCCTTTTCCCCTCTTGGAGCTAACAGTTGATTTTTAGACATCTTCAATGGATGTAACTTTTCTCATACTGTTATTATTTTCAAAAATTGATGTAGGTGTGTGTGTGTGTGTGTATGTGCTTGTGAGTCTGGATGAGGCCAGATTTAAGGAATGATATGGATTAGTGTGAGTTAGTATATCTGTGAAGGAGTTTCAACTTCTGTTTCTTACCCTGGCAGGAAAAACTGCTGGTATTTTGAAGGCTGCTTGCTTTCTCTCCTAGAAGTCCTTTGCCCGGGGGAGAGCTGTTCTATTTCCTTCTTTTTCCTTTTTGGTGGAGGTGGAGGTGCTGGTGGTTTTCTTTTTGGTGGTGGTGGTGAGCTCCTCGCTGCATTTTTCAAGGGTCTGTCCCCAGGAGTAAGATTCCTACACAGGACACCTCCTGCCTTCATGGTCAGGCCTGGTTCCTGCCAACAACCCTGATGACCACTTGCACCGCCAGCCACAGTATCCTCACCATATTCTGCTTTCTTTGCAGCCACTTCCTTTTGGGACCTGGAACCCTTTGCTGGGCCATTCCTGTACTTGAGTTCTTCCGGCATTAGCAGCAGCTTTGCACCCTCTCTCGAACTGAGAGTCTCAGGAGAGCGAGCTACATGGAACAACTGGTCCTCCCAGTGCCCCCTCAGTCCCTGCTTAGTCCTGTGTGCAAAAAGGAGAAAGCAGGCTGCTGCTCAGGGCTGGGCCCGGGCCGAGGACCACATCCCAGACAGATGTGCTTTTCACTTCCTGGGGCGGTGAAATACGTCGTAGGCTTCCAGGGTCCAGTTTCCTAACTTTGTTGGTGATGGCTCCCTTCTGAAAATAAGGCATCTGCTTAGCCTCGTATCTTGGCTCCTTGGAAATCTAACTTTTCCTCCCCTCTTTCCTTACTGGTTTTTCTCTTCCATAAAAAGCAGTCATCTGAAACACCATTTGCCAAACTTACAGGCAACTTCCTCCTTTTAACCGAACACAGTGTGTCTGTTACACCTTTGCTGAGACCAAGGCTTCTCAACTGCAGCGCTTTTTACACTTGGCCTTGGATAGTTCTTTATTTTGGGGGGGGGCCCTGTCCTGTGCGTAGGATGTTTACCAGCATCCCTGGTCTCTACCCACCTGATGCCAGTAGTACCACTTTCCTCCCATTTATGACAGCTGAAAATGTTTCCAGATATTGCCAAATGTCCCCTGTGGAGGGGGGCAAATTATCCCCAGCTGAGGCCAGTGGGCCTCAGTTGTTCTTGCTCCAACGAATATCTTCCTCCTTCCCTGCTCATGTACTCTGCCTGTCACTCTTACTCATCTTTTGAGACGAGTTCTTCGCAGCCTTTCCCAGTCCTCCAAGTCAGGGTTCATTCTACTCTACCCGGGACACCTGGACACTTGGTTCCAGCTGTTGGAGAGAATGTATCAGGTTATGTTGATGTTAACCTGCATGCCTGCCTTCCCACCCAGCAGTGAGCTCCTTAAAGACAGTGTCATCCAGAGGTGGGTCCAGCTCAGGTTCTGTGAGCCTGAAAACTCGTTACTGTTTGGAGGGGGGCAGGTTTAAGAAAAAGAGAATAAATTGTGAATGCCAAATTAGATACAGGGCTTTGGGAGGGGACAGTGTAAGTGGGTGGCAGTGAAGCAGACCCATCTCAGGTCCCCTTGTGTTTCCTGTCATGCTGGGCACCTATGTGTTCAATGTATTTTTAAACATGTTCAGTAAGCCGTCAAATATTGGTTGATTGTTCTTCAACCAGTGGAATTCTTAACTTAAAAAAGCGTACGGTCTTCTTAAAATATTGTAGTTATTTTTTTAAATTTTTTTTATTCATTTGACAGGGAGAGAGCAAGAGAGCACAAGCAAGGGGAGCAGCAGGGAGAGGGAGAAGCAGGCTCCCCGTTGAGCAGGGAGCCCAAAGTGGGGCTCAATCCCAGGACCCTGGGATCCTGGAATCCCAACCTGAGCTGAGGGCAGCCACTTAACTGAGCCACCCAGGTGCCCTGTAGTTATTTTAATACAGCTTACTTGTTGGAGGGGGGATGAGTTATGGAATTATGTACGCACGTGTGTACACACACGCACACACTCGCCCGCATCACGCCACCTCTGTACTCTTTCTCTGCGGCTGCTTGGTCATTTGGAAAA